CGACGTATTTTTCGCAGAAAAATTAATATTTATAATCACTATCAATTCAAAATTCGACAAGTGGGTGTCCAAAATAGAGATATTGACCTCTTTGGTATGTCAAAATAAAAAAAATTTGGTATGGTATTTGCATTATGAAATTAACGTGTAATTGCTATTGACAGTTCTTGTCATATGGACACAGTTGTGGGTGTGTGCAACTTCATGTCAGTTGAATTGTATACATATATATATCTAGTTCTGAATAGTGGCTCCCCGGACCGAATGTACCGAGTCATCTGTGGTGTATAGTATAAAATAAAAAGAAAAGAAACAACATTAAAAAAAGTATTCACCGCGCGCAATGCTTACATTAATGACGCGGCAATATTTTATTAAACATACCGCTATACTTGAAACGCTCTCTCAAGCTCTCCTCAGTGGTTCGCAACCAGTCGGTGCAGGTTTAGAATTTTTTGAATAGTCGAACAATGTTCGTCGACACGAGAGCCTGGGATAATGACCTCAAATGAGAGAACCCTGAGCGCGCGAGAATAGTCTCAACTTATATTATATGAGGGGCTGATAGTAAAAATGGTTTAAAATAACATTGGGAGCAAAAGTGGGATAAGTGACTTGGGAGCAAAAACGGGTTAAAATGATTCGTGTAATTTATTGATAAATTCATTATATTATCGATTAAAAAATATTAATTATAATAAAATATGCATTTTTTCCTATTGTTAATATTTTTTAATCGATAATATAATGAATTTATCAATAAATTAAACGAATCATTTTAACCCGTTTTTGCTCCCAAGTCACTTATCCCACTTTTGCTCCCAATGTTATTTTAAACCATTTTTACTATCAGCCCCTCATATATATGTATATAGTTGAAGGGGACAGTCATCTTTATTGGTGGATCATCAACATAAAGCTATTATAACCGTTGAATGTGCGCAATCCTTAAACATAAAGAAAAAAGGTCAAAGAACTTAAATTTCTATCATTTTATCGATAATATCTAGCGGATTTTTAAAAATGTTTCTAATTATTCCGAGGGTAATTATTATTCTAATATTGTTTTTTTTTATTTTCAGGAATCCAAATGGACTTAGATGACATCAAAGAAGAAGATGAAAAGAAATTGTAATATAATTGATCACGTATTAGAATATGATTCTTAAGGATAACAAATTGATAAAATGTTTCTAATTATTCCGAGAGTAATTATTATTCTAATGTTGTTTTTTATTTTCAGCAATCAAGATGGACTTAGATGACATTAAAGAAGAAAAAATAAATTGTAATATAAATGATCACGTATTAGTATTAGAATATAATATTCGGATATAATCCTTAAGGATGATAAGTTCACAAAAATGTTTTTAATTATTCCGATTGTAATTAATATTCTAATGTCTTTTATTTTTACTTTCAGGAATCATCCAGATGAACGTAGATGACATCAAAGAAGAAAATAGAAAGAAATTGTAATATAATTGATCACGTATTAGAATATGATATTCGGATATGATCCTTAAGGATAACAAAAATTGACTTCATTTTTTAATTATCTAACGAAAATTCTCTATTAAAATTTAGTAGATCTTTATTTAAATATAGGATAATTTAATTTCATTCCTTACTCCGATATACTTTACACAATTAAATCTAAAATTAATTTAATTAACGTCAGTCATAAATAAATGTTTCGAAGTCATACTGTTAATGTTTGGTAGAAATTGGAATCAGAAACTCAGAACAAGGGGAAGAAGAAAAAGAATCAAAGAAATTGTAATATAATTGATCACGTATATTAATTAATAACTTCCAATATGAATCTCAAGGAATAATGTAGTTCATTGTTAACAACAATTAACAAAAAATCGGAATACCGCTTTTCTTTTGAAAAGAATTTTTGGATAATTATTTTTATTTCTTTTTTCGAAGATGATCGGTTAGGTCAAGTTTACGTGTATAGGTTCCAGATGAGAGATTATGTATACTTTTATTCATCGCTGTATATATATATATATATATACATATACACTTAATTAGATCGTTGATTCGATGGAATCTATAGCCGAAACTAATACAGAGAAAGTCCTACATGTGTATCAAGTGTAATGTGTGGGTTGGTAGGTGCTTGCTGGTTGGGCAAGGCAAAGGGAATTGCATTGCATGCCACATAATCGTGGGAGTGTTTCCCATCAAGATACACGTAGGTACCGCACTCGCTGTAATACCTTCTCGCATAAATATATCTACACCGTGCATTTACGCGCCTAAGGGGTGACCAAAAAAAAGGAAAAATACAATCCGAAAAGAAAAATACATTCCCAAAAGAAAAATCCCCCAGAAATGTAAAATACCCAAAAACTGAAATCCACAATAAATTCAATGACAAGAATATAAAAATTATTAATACTGACCTAGATATATTATTACGTTTCCTATTTCTAATATTTTTATTAAATCACTTTAATTAAAAAAAAATTAGAAAAATGAAAATTACTTATTGAAAGAAATTGATGATTGAAAGAGTAACTTTTCAATAATATATAAATACTATAAAGAAATATCAATGAATTATTTATCTCTAGATGAAAATAAATTTCACGATAATTGGCAGTTCTAAACAAGGGTGTCTTGAGCGACAGCTGTTATACGATACGAATCGACCACCGGGTATGCAACGTATATGCGCCTTGGAGAAAGCTGAAGAGCTGAAACAGCCGATCTAGCAAAGCTAAATGTACTTTATGCACCGTGCCCTCGTTCCATCGTTTTATCCGAACAATTAGACACGTGATCCGCATCTACGAAGTGCTTGTATAAAAAAAAATTCGGTTCCTGAAAGATGCCCTCGACTATAAAGTGCGAGAAGATTGTTGCAAAATTGTCGATGCTCGCAATGTTGGATTTCCCTTTGTCATATACAAGAAATAATGCCATTCGAATATAGTATCTTTAATCAGAAAAAAGTTATCACAATTGAAAAAGTAAAAAATCATAAAATAATTATGATGAAGAATTATAAAAGTTTCATAAAGCATTATTATGACAAAAATTATTCGTAGGAATTATTATGCGAGCAAGATCGTAATTATGAAAGGAATGAGAAAACAAGATGTCCAGGAAGATATGCCCAGAAAATTAAGTCAGTTTGTGTATATAAAGAAACTAGACACTTTTGCTGAAAACCCCGTGTACAACTTGAGTGATATTTTAACGAGTTCTATAAGATAACCCGTTGATGGTATCGTGCTGATAACGCAAAGATAGAGAGAGAGAGAATATTACGTTGAAAGCATAAGAGCATTTCCCGGGTATATATAAATGCGTGAGGATGCTGCACTTAACTCATTATATCTAGATATGATGAGAACGAAACTGGAATTTCAATTTAATACCACTTAATATGAAAACAAGTAGGGGAATTTTTTTTTAAAAAATCCTCTATAAAAAAAAGTTTATTTATTTTCATTCAACTTCTCAATTTTTCCATTGTTATAGTCTTCTCCCCTTTCAAAGTTGTATAATACCACATAATTCCTGACCCTAGTCAGAATTCCAAAGGGAATTCCGTGGCCAATGTCTTTAATGATTTAGTATACGAAAAGCAAAGAGAGAGAGAGAGTTCACCTGCCTACTGGATATATCGAAGAGACAACACCCTGGTATGTACTTGATACACGGTCCAAACTTGACCATGCGGATCGTGCGCACCAAAATCTCGTCGTGTAGGAAATAAGAAGAAAAGAATGAAAGGAAATAAAATAAAAAGAAAGTTGAAAACGACTAAAAACGGAGGTAGATGAAAATAAAAAGGTTACAAAGAACCCCAAGAATCGTGAACATTAGCATAAGCTAAGCGCGTCCATATAGCACGGAAATAAATAGCCCCCCCATTGGTTGCTTCGAAGTATTTTAGCATAGACCCTAAAAACGGTTCCACATGTATATATATACGTGTGGTCCATTTGCGGTGGATTTCGCACACGTTTTGCGTTTCCGAGATGAGGGTGCTCAAAATCAGAGAATGGGGTAGATGGGCCAAAAGATAGCTCTCCTTGAGCTCCATTCGGACAGGATGTGCGGTTGTCATCGGACTTGGAGTTTAGAGGAGTATTGTCTACAACCGCTAACCAAATGGAATGTATTGTTCTGCATCTGTATAGGTTTAACCTTATACAGTATCGCCTACTGGACGACAGCTCGTCATGATGCCATCATATTGTGTTGATTAGACAATCCAGACTTTCTCGGTTCTACCTAGGCAAATAACAATTCCAACCGGATAGTCTTACGGAGCATCAGCTATATCCTTTCTTCCGACATTGACCCTATCTGCTTTTTGATAGTGGACCCACACTATTCGTATTTCCACCAAAATAACCTATGTATAAAGTTCAATACATCCAGTTTTACTATTATTACCTTAGTTTCTAAGATTAACAACAAATGGAAACTGTAAAAGAAAAATAAAGGCGTATCAAAATAAATTAGATTTTATTCAACAATATTGTGACAAAGATACAATTGACTAGGTACAACTAAACCTAATGGAACAACTAATCTAATTTTATCTTTTTTTTTAAATAAGGTTCTGTTCGGTATGATAGAATCACTCCTAAAAAATCACCTTGTAAAATCAAAAACAAATCGTCTATCACATTCCTGACTAAAAACCTAGACCCAGTGACCCTTTAATCCGAACCTGTTGGCTTCTGAAAAAATTCCGGAATATAAAATTCGTATCGATTTAAAAGTGAAATCATTCCTCTCGGAATTGAATTCCAACAATTCCCGAGGTGCACGACCTCGCGAGTCAGGTGGATCAACCGGTTTATCTTGCGCGCGTCCTAAATCGTCTAAATAAAAAAAAAAGTGCCAACCGGAAATAGCTGATCAAATTTTGCAATTATTGATTAGCATTGATGTTATTGTACTACATCCGTAGAGTGTTGTGAAATAAAAATCAATTTTTGGAGCACCGACTGTCAGAACCTTACCTGTGGTAAATAGAACGATGGCCTTGAGACAGCTATATTCAGCTGAATCCACATGAAGGGCTTTTAGTTTTTCCACTTGCTCCTGAAAGATCCTGATATGATCCATAAAAGCAACAACACGATCAGCAGCCATTGGCGATGCATGTAGTCCCGCGGCGGCAAGTAGTGGTGCCACATGAAGTGGCATTGAACATTGACTTGCATTGAGTACAAAGAGTTCACTCCAAACTAACCTCAATAGTGCAACTTGATCAGTCACCTGAAGATCTGGGAAGAATGGTATATTTCTTGCCCATTCAACGGCGGAAAATAATAATCTTGCTGCTAATTCGCAAATATTGTCTATTCCCATAATGTTGTTTGGTTGCATACATTGTCCGTATCTCGACGTTGGATATGGCTCCGCCCTGAGTAGTAGGCTGATATAGGACGACAGGTACGAGTGTCCATTTAAACTTGCGCATGCCACTGCGTCACCGTTCGTCAGTGCGAACTGACCTGGTAGTCCCGGAAGCGATGGCTGCGAGGGTGGTACTCGCCCTCTCTGCACGGCTGTAACATAAATTAATCACTCGGTTAGATCTTCATTATACACTGACAAGGTAAGTTCTTCTGATCAGAAATATATTCTCTTTTTGCATATTAACTAATATTTTGACAATAAAATTTGATTATTTTTTAAATAATATTTTTTTTAAGTAATCAAATTGGTTCATTTGGATGATGACCCGAAGAACGAAAATCAAGAAATTGTAATATAATTGACCACGTATTTTTATTCAGTAATTAAACTGGATTATTTAGATAATGACCCAAAGAACGAAAATCGAGAAATTGTAATATAAATTACCACGTATTTTTACATTCGAATTAAAATTTAAAAAATTAAAATAAAGATTATTTCTTAAGTAATATTTTTTCAGTAGTAGAACTGGATCATTTGGATGATGACCGGAAGAATAAAAATCAAGAAATTGTAATATAATTGACCACGTATTTTTGCATAAAAATTAGAACATGACAATTTAAACAAATTCGATAATTTCATAAAAATTTCCAGTAATCAAACTGGATTATTTTAATGAAGTTCCTAAGAACAAAAATCGAGAAATTCTAATATAATGGACCACGTATTTAAATATTAATATATTTACATATTCTTAAGGGAAAATCTACATTTTTTTACTTTCATTATTTTTTAGTATACATTTATTTTGTCTGCATGTCCCAGTATCATTAAAAGTATCATTTAAATATCTTGTGAATTATATTGAGCGCCATGAATATCTATATTCTTGTTTAAAGATATATCTATGGAGTCATATGCAAAGTTTTAGTGTTTTATTAGAAAATTATGCAGTCCACTATATGGTAAGAGCTATAATAAATGTCAATAACTGTCTCTTCTATCACCAGTGAAATTATTATTGTACAATCTCACGCAGTGAACATCTCTCTTTAACTCGTTATAATACTTATTATATCTTATTCTTAATCCAGTTGTAAATATGTAATAATATTTACGATACAACATATCAGTTAAGCGTTCACGCGAGAAACAGTTCTAAATCGCACCTTCATTTATATAAATAAATATTTATAAGATAAGGACACTATCAACCTTTTTGTAAGTAAACAATCTTGTCGGTTGCATTTGCCGCTACTCTCCTTTAATACCTTTATCAACGCAGGACGGTGAGTTATTGACTTGGGACCTCTTGGAGCGAAACGGCGATTGATCATTAACGTGTTTCATTATTCAAGGACATTCAACCATCACAGAACCTTCTTTCTTTCATTCTTTCTATTTATCTGTCGGCATTCCCTCTTTAGAAGAGGAACCAAAACATAATTTTTTTTTTAACCTCGAAGAAAGGATTTCTCCTATTATTAAAATGGCTCATTTAACTCGATGAATGTACGCGCATACGAGATGATGAACAAGCTAACTAAATTAGATCCCGAAATAACTATTAAAGAATTTAAAGAATGTGCATTGAAAAGTCTCGAAATATTTACCAACAATGGTTTACGATTTTTGATAAAATGTCATAGAGATCTTTGATCATCAGTTGATTAATCGTATGAAATGGGTCTTTTAGAAAAGATACTATTTCTATTGTTTTTTTTTTTACTATTTTGTTGCACTAGCTGCTATATATGTAGGAAACACTCTGCGACCGAAAGTGTTCGAGTTGCAAACAGCGTTTTCCGTGTATCTCTTTCTCTTCGTCTTCCTTCTCCTCCTTCTCGCGAACGTGTTTAAGGTCTCAGGGGGTCCGCGAAGTCGTCGATGCGTGACTGCATCGATAAGCACAATAGAATACAATGCCATGAGACTGACAATAAGAAAATCCATTCTTCTGGTGGGATTCCCTATTTGAACAAATTCCTCCCTGTGTTCATGCAAAAAAAAATCTCTTCCTTTCTCAACTAAATTTCACTGTATTTCGTGATGTTTTCTGATATCCGAAATTGTAATTTGTCTTTTGGAATCGTTGAAATCAGAATTTCCAAATTTGGACAAAAATTACTCAGATCTCCGTTATTCGCTGACAAGAAAAGTTCTCCTAATCAGAAATATATTCTTTTTTTGCCTATAAATTAATATTTAGACAATTAAAATGGATTATTTTTTAAATAATATTTTTTTCAGTAATCAAACTGGATCATTTGAATAATGACATGAAGAATGAAAATCTAGAAATTGTAATATAATTGACCACGTATTATTGCATAAAAATTAAAATTTTACAATTAAAAAGAAATTCGATTATTTAAGTAAAATTTTAAGAATAAGAATTTTCTAATTTGGATAAAATTAGAAGTATTTTTAGAACCAATTCTTTGGTCATCTATCTCAACACAACTGTTGGTACGATGATAAATATCACATATTATGCTCTCAGAACTTCTACATCTGGTAACTGATTTTGCATTTAATGCCATTTAGTGAGCCTCTAAACAAAAATTCAAGGTAGAGAGGATAAAATTGCACTCAATGACGCCTTTTGAATATATATCTATGGGAGGATCAGAAGAAAACTGTCCCTTGTGACGGTTGACACAATCGACTTGAAAGTATATATTTTCAGTAAATTGCGTTTCAAGTCATGCTCCTAATAGCGAGTGGGTGTCCATACAGTTTTGCAAACACGTGTGCGTTCAAGTATTCCAGGGACACGTGCATGACTAGGAAGTCTTTTAAAAGTCATCCTCTTAAATGAACCATTTATAATTGACATAAGCAGAGAAATATTATTTCGATAAACTGCGCATCGTTAAAGGAGAAAAATCTTCTACCAATATTGTTATATTCCTTCATAAAAACTTCCTCCAGCTGCTTCTTCTTCTTCTTTATTTCTTATTGCAATAATGTTTGTACATCGCTTTTGAAAATAACTAAATATTTCGTGAGAAAATATTTATTAATTTATATTCTAATCAAAAAGTTGATGAAATTGTAATTTTACATTCTCAAAGGTAAAAAAATTTCATCATAGAAATTTTTGAAGAAGAATCTCTTCATGGATGAAGGAAAGCAAAATGAATAGGAATGAAGAGATCTTGACAGAATTAGTGCTTCATTAAAATGGAAACTATTTTGAGAACGTAAATATCTGCGTAGAGAGGTAATTGACAAGTGCCTTGCATCTCTTTCTTTTTTTGTGATTTAAAGTCGTGTCTAGTTCCGACCTCGCAGATTCTTAGGGCGCATATATACTCTCTTACAACTCTGGGAAGAATAAGTCTTGAGTCGATACACCCGAGTCGAATATATAGGCACCCTGCTGAGAGACTCTGGTTGAATTCCAACCTCAGTCCCGCGTGCTGCTATATAACGAAGCAACTTTTCCACTCTGGTATAATATGTTTCTTTTCTTTTTACTTATTAATTTCATTTTTTTCCTTTTGACTTTGTTCAATTATTATTTAATCGTCTGCTTGTCACGAAATTTAGACTTCTATTTGTAGTCTAAAAGGGAAGAAGAACTCCGAATAGGAAATGTAATCCAAATGGGATATTTAAACAATTAAAATAAATTCGATTATTTCCTAAATCATATTTTTTTCAGTAATCAAGTTGAATCAAGAAATTGTAATATAATTGACCACGTATTTAAATATTAATATATTTGGATATTCTTAAGGAATAATCGAAGATATCCACATTTCAAATAGGAGAAGTAGAAGTCCTCCTCTCTCTTGTAATTAACTACCATCTTCTAAATATTATTGGTGGAATTTTTATCAAAACCAAAATAAAAACCTACCCCAATTCAGAGGGCTTTTAATTTCTAATTAGATTTTCAAAAAAAGGAGAAACTATTTTTTAGTTTATAGTTACTATTTGTAATCAGTTGTTGTGTTTTTGATGTGATTTTCATTCTGACATGTGTCACACTTCCTGCTTTGTATAAATTCTCATTGGACTTTCTCTAAATCTTTTTTTTTTGTGTGTGTGATATACATAACTCCAACACGGTGTCCAAATGCCAGAGGGAATGATTACACAATGACATGTAGACGACACGCGAAATAAGATAAACTTGTTTCGGAACATGCGGGTGAGAGCGCATGTCTAGATGCAAAAGAGATATTGGAATGATTCATTGACTTAAGGGACATTGTTCTTTCTTTCGTTTCATTCCTTCTATTTTCTGATATGGGTGCTTATTCTTATTCCACGAATAAAATTGATTTATATAAAAAAAAAAAATGTTAAAAGTTGTGATGATGGCAATGATTTTAAAAACAGTCATCCCAACCGTAATTCTCCTCTACACTTTTGCCGTATATGCAAATGGCAGATGAAAACGATGCCTTGCTAGAGATAGCCTTTTCGAATGTCTCACCGTTATAGACCGCACATTCTGGATTATATCGAGACCTAGGCATTGCTTTTATAATAGACTCTACGGTCAGAAACAGAGAAAGAGAATAAATAGTTCAATATATATATATATAAGAGAATTTCTTCCATTACATTGGGGAGAAAAAATAACACGCGGAAATCTATTGGAATCTGCCAACAAATTTCAAACCATTATAGAAGAAGGAATAGCGAAAGGTATTTCACTAACAACTTTATTCATCATCTAGAAAAATGTTAAGTCCCACACCTATTAATGCTGACTTTATATCCAATTCCATTAACCATATAAGGGTATAATTTAAATAATCACTAATTAATAGTTTAAACAATTTACCATTTTTGTTTTATTTTACATTTAAATTAAACCGGTTTATAAAAAATATATCCGAATCAACACAACTCTCATTCCAAGTCATCAAATTTTACGATATCTTTGCGGAATGAGTATTTTTATGGTATAAAAATGTTTAATGACTCAATTGAGACGGGGTTCAAAGCCCCCATTAAAAAAAAAAAAGATATCAGATAGTTTTCTTTGGATTTTCCTGGTTGTACCACACGTGTCTATGTATTGAAAAGTCTGCGCGTTTGCTTCTGGCGATCGAGAGGCGCATCATTATTATTTCCTCTTGGTGTTCATTAGGTGCCGCGATTTGTAATGTTAAACTAACGCCTG